TATTATTATTATTATTATTATTATTATTATTATTTACCAGCCTCTCCTCATAGCTTGAGGTGGGGCACAACATAGTTAAAACACATCACCAAAAAACATTCAGTAAAATACGTATCTTAAAACATACAGAATACATATATTAACATACACAGAAGATTAAAATTCAGTAGACTTTGAAATTCATAGTTAAACATTGACTTTACTACTTTTTGTCTCCTGTGTAATTTTAGGTCCAGGAGAGGACTTTTCCTAAGCTTCCATGAACCATAGGAATGAGGAAACACTCCCCCCATACCCTCTCAGAACAAAATAAATCACTTTGTGGGATATGATGAAGTATGAGCCTTCAAAGTTCCCAGAACCACCAGTCTATAACATTCGCCCCTCTTGGATGGAAAACATGCTTGAAAGATTTAAGGTAATCCCATCTTTTGAGATCCCATGCATCACCTTTAGTGTCTAAAGTATCAGTTTTATTGGATTTTCCTGTCTCAAACTGCATCCCTGCGTGCTTTTGTAACCCCATCTGTGCAGGTGAGCACAGAGACCAATAACAGCAAGTGGAAGGAATGAAGGCAAACGCTATGTGATACCTCTGTAAGGTGGAGCGATAGGATTCCCCCGCACCGGTGTTGTTGATGAAGAGGATGGGACTGGCTGGTTTCTCACCAGGGCTGCTTTTGCCGTTGGTCTCTGCTTCAGCGTCCACATTATTTTCGGCGGGAGTGGCATCACCTTCTGAATGGGCAAACAACAGGGGCGCGAATAATTCAGAATTATATTATCCAGAGCCCCTGGGAGTCTACAGATGATGTGTTTTCTAGAGATAGCAAACATATACAGCTCTTCTAGTACCATACAATGTGTTTGTTTTTCAACCTTGTGCTTGGAAAGAATTTCAGGATTTTTCTGCAGGATTTCCATTGTCACTTCCATACATTCAAAGCCCACAGACGGTAAAATTTTGCTCTGTGAGCATCTGCTGGAAAGTGCTGTGATATCACTGATAATGTCAGTAGTGTACAGAAATATTTAAACAAACACATTGAAAAACAAAGTAGCTCATAGCCAAAATCCTTTCATTGCAATAGTAATTTCCATGTTAAGAATGTTAAGATGGCCTTGCCTTACGTGTCATTCTATAGATGTATTAGACCAGGGGTCCTCAAACTTTTTAAACAGAGGGCCAGGTCACAGTCCCTGAAACTGTTGGAGGGCCAGATTATAATTTGAAAAAAACATCAATGAATTCTTATGCACACTGCACATATCTTATTTGTAGTGCAAAAAACACTTAAATAATAATTAAATAACAAAATGAAGAATAATTTTAACAAATATAAACTTATTAGTATTTTAATGGTAAGTGTGAGTCTGCTTTTGGCTGATGAGACAGGATTGTTGTTGTTGTTGTTGTTGTTGTTG